TATGAAATGAGTGGTGTAAAGCATGTCATCACTGGACTCTGTGGAGTGATGAATCATGCTTCTCTATCTGACAGTCTGATGGATGAGTCTGTAGTTTGGCGAATACCAGGAGAACGTTACCTGCCTGACTGTTTGGTGGGGGAGGGATAATGCTGTGGGGTTGTTTTTCAGGGGTTGGCCTAGACCTCTTAGTTCCAGTGAAGGGAAATATCAATGCTTCAGCAGACCAAGACACTTTGGACAATTGTCTGCTTCCAACTTTGTGGGAACAGTTTGGGCCATTTTCTGTTCCAGCATGACTGAGCCCCAGTGGACAAAGCAAGGTCCATAAAGGCATGGCTGGGTCAGTTTGGTGTGGAAGAGCTGGCCCACACAGAGCCCTGACTTCAACCCCATCAAACACTTTTGGGATGAACTAGCATAGAATGTGTGAGCATGTGTGCAGTGTTGGGGTTAAGAAGGGTGGGGAAATGGAGGGTGGGGGTCAGTAGGGGCAGGGCATGGGGGCTGTCACCCACTGTCCTTCAGGCGGTGACATGTTGACACATAATTATCAGTCAGGGGGCTGTGTGCACACCCCAAGGAATATTTGCAATTTTTAAATTTGTGTACATTTTTCAAAATTTGGGATCAGCTTTCTAAACCTGTTTGTGTAAATCTCTCTCTCTATCTCTCTCTCTTCCCCTTTGTGTCTCTCTCTCTTTCCCTCTCTCTCTCTCTCTCTCTCTCTCTCTCTCTGTTGTAAGAAAGCCTAACGGTTTTCTTACAACAGCAAGAAAGTGTTATTTTTTTGTCCTCTAGGACTTTGTTTCTCCCTCTCTCTGTTTCTCTCTCTACCCCCCACCTCTCTCTCTCTCTCTCTCTCTCTCTCTCTCTCAAACACATGAACACGTTTTATTCCCATCCTGTCCCTCATTCAGTGTCCACCCCTGTGCCTTTCTCACTGATTCTGCATGTGTTTTGTATTGTTATATTTATTCAGCAGGAGAAAATCCCAGCCGGGCTTGTCGGACAGAGCCGAGTGAAAGATAAACGGGTGATGAGGGCGCTCCTGCCTGGCTGGATTTGTCGTGTAAGCCTGCTGGCCAGCTGTGGCCGATTGTATGTGGTGTGCTTTTCAGTGGATTTGATTGAGTTCTGTCGGGCTGCAATCACTGTGGCTGCACTCGCTCTTCCGACGCTCCACACAAACCCAGCACTTTTTTATGTGTTTTGCTTTTTGCTGCGTTGTTGGCAGACAAAACGAGCTGTAGTGGATTTTGTGGAAGAAGTCTTTGGAAGAAGTCTGTGGAAGAGTCTGAGAGAAAAAAAACAACTTAATAAGGGGGCTGAGCTGCTACAGAGTTGCCAAAAGTAGGCCAAAAAACTGGGTCCAGTACAGAAATATGAGGGTGAGGTGTTCATTAGCAAAACACTGTTAGCATTAGCACTACTAATCCTGCATATTATTTTTATATGACATTATTAAGTATGTGTGGTTTTATGCACCAAAAACAGTCATTACATGTCTATTTTCCAACCTTGCTTTACTAGAATTAAACAGGCTGTTTATTACTGTGCCTTAAAAAAAGATATATGCAAATGAGCTCTTTTCTGATTGGCTGCCCTAACTGAAAAAGCAGGCCAAGCTGAAACGACCCCAGGGTCTCATCCCAGTAGGCCGTGCCTGGTAAAGCCCCATCGGGGGGCATCCTGTTTAGATGCCTGAACCACCTTAACTGGCTCCTCTCAATGTGGAGGAGTAGTGGCTCTACTCTGAGCTCCTACCCAGATGACTGAGGTCTTGTGCTTTTAAATCCCATAGGGATGCTAGCAGAAAGTAGTGTTTTGACATTTATGTCCCAAACTGAAAGCGTCACTCTAATAGCCATAGTTTGCCACTGAGTTGAAATGGATTTCTACCAGTGTTCTGTAAAGATTTTCCAACAGCAGCTATGAAAGGACGCATTTGTCACTGCACGGATTGAGCAATTCAAAGTTTTTCCAAGAACCCTGCATCCAGGCTGGGCACCATTTAGAAACCTTTATTTTTAAGAACATAGGAAGTTGTTCTGCATGCTAAACTTGCCGGACACAGCTGAAAAAAATAAATCTGCAACCCAATAAACTGACAGCATAAACAAGCAGCTATTAGCCTGTACACTGGCACACCTGCTTAGAGCGAAAATCCTGCCAGCAGCCGCTGCCCTGGGCAGCTCCTAATGATTCTGAGCCTCAGATAAACAATAAAACATTTCCACTGAATCCTGCACTCCATGTGGCCCCCACAGATTTCTCTAATGCGATGCTGTCAGGATGTGCTACATTTGCAGGGAATTAACTTTCTGGAGAGTCTAATCTGTTTAAACACAGGCTATGATGAAAGGAAGCTCTGTGCACACGTTTGTACGTGTTTTACCTTAGCAGGCAGTTAGCACGGCTGGCAGTCCACAATGCCTCATTGAAATAGCAGGCCTGAGAGCGGCAGTGGCTTTAAAAGCGCTCCCTGATTACTCGCATCAATAGGACTATTTGTTGTGGCTCTTGCAGCAACTGCCAAAGCAGATGGGTTATAATTCAGCCTGCTTTAAAATGCCTAAATCCTCTAATGATTCCCCAACACGCTCAAAAAGCTAAAACGCTAAACGCTGTCCCAGGAGTCTCGGCGCTCCATCACAGACAGATCAGGATGTGAAAAAGCAGGTAGGCCTTCATTTTCCTGCACTCAAACACTGGGCATTTCTCAAACATGCACATAAATGCGCTCGAAGGCTTCACGCTGATAAAAATAATCCAGTTGCTCTCCAGAAAAGAGCAAAAAGTACTTAAAATAACTGTCTGAGTGAGCAGCTATCACTTGACAAAGAACAACCAAGCCAATTCTCAATATAGCGCAACATCAAACGCTCCAAACTCAGCATAAAGTAACTCCGACTGTTCAGCAGCTATTAGTCAGGATTGCTGTCATTTTATGAAGAGCCTGTAAAAATGTGCTGACTTTCCAGTTCATCCACCTTTTTCCACCTCCCTTCTACACTAGTTAGCCATTTTATAAGAAACAGAGATGGAGACTTGTGTAAGCAGCTCACAGCACTTGAGTCATAGAATGACTGACTCATGACTTGACTTGGACTCTCCTTTAACAGACCCATACCTTGACTTGGACTTGCCCATAGTTGACTCACAATTTCACTCTGGCTCCCCCTTGATTGACATCATGACTTGCATTCACCTTTAACTAGCTCTTGGCTCGGACTGTCTATTAACTGACTTGTGACTTGAGGTGGCCCTTAACTGACTCTTGACTCAACTTGGACTCACCCTTTAATAGATCTTGACTCTACTCAGACTCACCAATAACTAACTTGCTACTGAATTCACACCTCAGAGACTCCAGACTTGACGTATACTTGCACACCAGAGACCTGAGATTTGACCTGGACTTGCACCCAAGAGACTTGAGACTTGACTCAGACAGGCATCCCAGAGACACGAGACTCCACTTGGACTCCTACCCCAGAGACTTGAGACTCAACTCGGACTCACACCCCAGAGATTCGAGGCTTGACTTGGACTCGCACCCCAGAGATTCAAAACTTGACTCTGACTCACATCCCAGAAATTGGAGACTCAACTTGGACTCGCACCTCAGAGACTCGAGACCCAACTTGGACTGGCACCCCAGAGACTCCAGACTTGACTTGGACTCACACCCCAGAGACTCCAGACTTGACTTGGACTCACACCCCAGAGACTCAAGACTTGACTTGGACCTATCCTTAACTGTCTCACTACCCAACTCACACTGCAGAGACTTGATACTCCACTCAGACTCACATTTTGAGACTCAACTTGGATTCACACCTCAGAGGCTCATTTGAAGTGACTTGTGAAGTCTGATCAGAAACATCTACCTTATAGGTCCACTATACTGTGTACAGTTACAGAATGCAGCCCCTCTGCTGCTGTACAATTGTTCAGCCCCCTCTATCCCATTCACCAATGAAACTACCACCATAGCATCACCACTGACCAGATGGTGGTGAACCTTTATTAGCACCACAGCACAGGGTCTTGAGCACCTGTCACTTTGCCCTCTTGAGCTGCATCTATAATAACTGTATTTAATATCACCTATACCATTGTTTAAAATGCACATCAGCTCATTGTCACCCTGGCAATAGAGCTGGTGGGTTGACTCTTAGGTAAAGCTTCATTGTTCTTGAGCGCCCCCTCTAGATTTCAGCTTCGACCTGCATCACCACAGTAAAGCACCCATAATGTCTATTTAACAGCTAAACATATGCCAACTGTAAATGGTGTTAAAATGTCAAACCATTTTTTGTGATTGTAACAAACACTGGGCCTCATTCGTTGACCATTCTTAAGAATAAATTTCTTCTTAAAGATTCTGACATTTGCCAAAGTTTTCTTATTTGGGGTTTGAACAGAACAGAATCTGCACACACTCAAGAGCACAAAGGTGAGAACAGCTCTGCAGTTTAAGAACACATGATGAATCTGATGAAGACTTTTTCTTAGGACTTTTCTCAAGAACACATTTAAGAACAAACTGGGGAAGATATTGGAGAATTAGACCCTTTGATTTATTTAGACTGTGGAGGACCACCTGCTTAAAAAGAGTTGTAACTCACTTTAAAAATGAATGCCTCTAGGATTCTTAAGTAAATGGTTCTCTTTAGAACAAGGACAACTCAAATAACCAATTTAATATTTGAGTAGTACTTTGCATGGGTAAAGGGTTCTTTTCTAATGTTAATGAACATTACAAAATAAATGGTTCTGTAAAGCACCGAAAGGAATTTAGGCATGCAGCTAGCATCATGCTAATTGTTGTGGTAGAAACTTCTATTACTTGTTTGCCACATTAGCCTCTTAGCTCCAGTGTTACAAAGTGCAAAACAGTTGCAAACATGTTTTGGCTGATCAGCTGATGTTGTATTTGCCCAAACTTTCGCTTTAAGTCTGGCAGGCCTGCATAAACATAAGCATTGTCCTACCTTCATTGAGGCCCATGTGGATGCTCCAGTAGCTCTGCAGACACTGCAGCTCCTTCTTCATGCCCCTCTTACAGCGGCAGTCGTACAGCGGACTGTCTTGAAGGACCTCTAGCGCAGCCTGGCACTCCTTATTGGCCAGCATGGTGGCCCTGTCCCGGCCCACCAGGCACTGGCGCATGATGCGGAAGCGCGAGCTGCACTGAGGATTCTGGTTGCACATCTCACTTGCCCGCAGGCAGTCCATCGGAGCCCTCCAGCCGTGAGTGCCCAGTCCAGACAGGCTGGAGGAACTGACCATGGAGCACACCACATCATCTGGGAGGAGATATGAGGAGAGTTAGACTGGAGGCTGCGCTGAGAGGAGATCTCATTACTAAATGGTTCTTGGCTGAAACGTACAATGTCGTTCTTGGGAAAAAAAAGCTTAAATTGGTGTAGAACCGTTCTATTGTCTACAGGTTATTCACATACCTTCAAATAGAGGTCCACCAAAAGGTTCTTTAGGGAACTAGAGGTGGTTCTTCAATGGCACTGAAGCAAAGAACCTTTTCTGCTTTTTTTGTTTAACAGTTTAGTGGTGCCTTCACAATGATCACAAACTGATTGCAAATCTTTAGAAAACAACAAAGAAATCTCAAATTTCGCCACAATTTGATTTGATATGGTAATTTTGGTAGAAACATTTTTTTAAAAATGCTACATACAACTAAACAAGCGTAACTGGTGGAATTATTTACACAGTATCGGAATATTGACATTAAATATAATTATTTTATTTATTTTGTATTATATTTTTTTATTTTTACATCTAAAAATTGCCTAATAATTTCATTGTTTTGGTCAAAAAAATGAATGCATACTCTTTGTATGAGGTTTGTATTGAGGTCATTCTCTCTGGACTTGTGCTTGTCTTCTTAAACTCTCCTTTAAAGGCTCTTCATATAAAATGCTACTCATTTGTTTCATATCAAAATGCTCCATTATCTTCATCACTACTTTCCAAAACCGCTGCAGCTGTAAACTCTCTGCATGCCATTTCACATGTCTCCGATGTGGACTGAAAGAAGAATGAAGGGTTTCCTGGCATGATGGGTCAGTCCTTAGTGATTTCACTTAGTGTCCATTGGTCAGTTTCACACGGTGAAAGGCAGATGAGGTGTATCTCTGCCCCTCTTCATAGCCTCATAAATCCGGATGTGAGTCACGTATGATCTCGTGATAAGATGGAATGGAAAGGGCGACTCTACAGATTCAGAGAATGTTTGAAAACATAAACACTAAAGCTTCAAAGTGAGAGGAGTGAGCAACAGTAAAGCAGAACAGAAGCTGAACCGGCACAACAGAATGAAGTTAAACCCACAAAGAAAATTAGGAATTAAATGTTAATGACTCTAATAAAACTGATGATATACATTTCCATCAAAATTGTACTTTAGCATGTGGAACTACTTACTACTCATTTCAGGGTTTAGTATGACGCGGCTGAAAATGTCACACTGATGTCATACATACATGGAGAGCACATGACTCATTACAGAAAGCACAAAAGAGAAAGCCATTCTATTTTATATGATTATATGTCTCATAATTCAATAATAAATGCATTTGTCACTACTAGTGTTACCACTGCATCGCTGCTGTGTTGAAAAATCCAGCATATCTTCTGCAATCAGGGGTGAATTTGTTCCCTCTTTGCTCTCTTTTCCCTCCTCACTCTTCTGGGGAGGCTTCTAGGTGTTGGAACATTGCTGTGAGGATTTGATTGAGCATTAGTGAGGTCAGGTACTGATGTTGGATGCTTAGTTTTGGATCTCCAACTCATCCCAAAGGCATTGGATGGAACTCCATCACTTCAGAGAACACAGTTCCACTGCTCCACAGCCCAGTGCTGGGGGGGGGGCTTTATATCCCTCTAACCCTGGCTCGGCATCAGACATGTTGACCCTAATAGCATCCCATTCTACTGGCCACTGCTTTTCTATGGAGATTACACAAGATGTGTCAGAAATGGGCGCCCTTTAAGTAGCTGAACTCACTCATTAGAATGGCCTGGGTGCTTTAGGACAGATAGTGCACTTAAGATTGCTAAAAGCGACATCTATCGGCGGGGCAGGGAACTGCAGCTGCTTTCGCACGATTAAATTACCCGGCTCGTAATGAGTGGAAGCGACAGTTGTAAGTAGTTTTTTTTTCCTCTGGAGACGTCAAACACAATCCATCCTCGTTCGGATGGAAAGAAGCGAGCATCTCACGCGCGATCAGTTTATTAAAGCTGGACTGTAATGAGGCGCGTGCTTGAGCTTGAATGGCTGTTTGGGGCATCGTGACTGGAAAGTGTGACCGAATGTTCGTGCTGGTCACGTTTTGACCACAGCTCGAGTGCACTAGTTTGTATTTTCCGCTCCGTTTTCAGCACCCTGGAGAGCTCCGTGCGGGAGCGCGCTCCTCTCCGCGAGCACGAGGAACTTAAAAGCCAAAATATGCCGAAAACACGCTTTTTCAGAAGGGATGCTCACGTGCACTTAAACAGAGGACAGCTTAGCATTGCAATGCCACCTTTCTTTACCATAGAGTGCACTTCGTTGTGTCCGTTTGAGCGCTACTTTACGCAGTTACTTCAAACATTTGAACAAATCGTTCAAGCTCAAAATCATCATTTTTACCACTTTTCATGGATTGTGTGACGCTTTTCAAGCTTTTTACTCACCCAGTAGGAAGAGCACAGCCAGAGCATTGAGCAAAATCATGATAAATCCCTCTGCGCTGCGTTTTAAAGGTGCCTCGATCTCCAGACGCGGAGTAAATCTCCTTTTTCGGCTCAGTTTTAGATCTCCAGTTTTTGAGTGGCTTTCAAACAGCAGCCTTCAGCCCTGCGGTCCATCTCCACATTCACGGACGTACAATCCAACAGAGCTTCCACTTCACATCCGAGAACCTTAGAAATGTATACAAGAACAATTAAGAACGCGTTCTCCAGCAGAGCATCCTCTCAGAGCTGTTCTCCAGCCTTTCCCTCTTCCGTCCATGTGCGTTCCCCAATTCCAGACGAGGAATCAACTTCTTTTTAAGCCAGAGTCGAGAGCGTTTCTCCCATTCTCATCCCAAAAACACGCTGTAGGCAACTTCTGACTGCGCTCAGCTGATTCCTCACAGCCTCACTTCTCCATCCTCACATTCTCCAGCACAGAACCGCCGGAGCAGGACTGTTCAGCAGTAATGCACGCAGTGCTGCGCTCTTCTCCTCCTCTGGAACGCGCTTAGTGATTCTGCCAGACAGCATGAAATGGGCACATTGACTCTCTCTGCCCCCTCATGTGTCCTCCCTCATAGCTGCGTCCGTTCCGCTCTGCGCTGCTGAAGGAGAGAGCGGCTGGAAAAAAGCTGAAAAAAGCTTCTCCTCTTCTCTCCCCTTCGCTTCTGAGCCTCCAGCCCCCACCAATCCAGTGACGGCTGCAAAAGAACGCTGGGTGGTCTCCCTGAAGCAAATCTGCTGACCACAAGTCTGAATATGACCTTGCATTCACTGTTAATTTAGACTATTGCTTCTTTTTACCACCAGTCATATGGACAGCCTGCTGCTCCATGCTTTAAAATGAGCAGCCTTTAATTCTACAGTCAGCCTGTTTACAATCATTTAATTCTACACAGTCAGACTGTTTACAATCATTTAATTCTACACAGTCAGACTGTTTACAATCAGTTAATTCTAGTCAGACTGTTTACAGTCCTTTAATTCTACACAGTCAGACTGTTTACAGTCCTTTAATTCTACAGTCAGCCTGTTTACAGTCGTTAATTCTACAGTTAGCCTGTTTACAATCATTTAATTCTACACAGTCAGACTGTTTACAATCATTTAATTCTACAGTCAGCCTGTTTACAGTCGTTAATTCTACAGTCAGCCTGTTTACAGTCCTTTAATTCTACACAGTCAGACTGTTTACAGTCCTTTAATTCTAGTCAGACCATTTAAAGTCCTTTAATTCTACAGTCAGCCTGTTTACAGTCCTTTAATTCTACACAGTCAGACTGTTTACAGTCCTTTAATTCTAGTCAGACCATTTAAAGTCCTTTAATTCTACAGTCAGCCTGTTTACAGTCGTTAATTCTACAGTCAGCCTGTTTACATTCGTTAATTCTACAGTCAGCCTGTTTACAGTCCTTTAATTCTACAGTCAGACTGTTTAGTCGTTAATTCTACAGTCAGCCTGTTTACAGTTGTTTAATTCTACACAACCAGACTGTTTAGTCGTTTAATTCTACACAACCAGACTGTTTACAGTCGTTAATTCTACAGTCAGACTGTATACAGTCCTTTAATTCTACACAGTCACACTGTTTATAGTCATTTAATTCTACACAGTCACACTGTTTACAGTTGTTTAATTCTACACAGTCAGACTGTTTATAGTGCTTTAATTTCACAGTCAGACTATTTATAGATGTTTAATTCTACTCAGTCAGACTGTTTGCAGTGGTTTAATTCTACACAGACTGTCATTTCATTCTACAAAGTCAGACTGTTCATAGTCATTTAAGTTTACACAATAAGACAGTTCATAGTGATTTAATTCTACACAGACTCTTTATAGTTATTTAATTCTACACAATCATACTATTTATAGTCATTTAATTTTACAGTCACACTGTTTGTAGTCATTTAATTCTATTGTATGTGCAGTATATTTGTGTAGAATTAAATAGTGGTGTAAGTAGTGTATGTGTGTAGAATGTTTTATTTGCAGTGTATTTGTGTGGAATTTCTGCAGCAGGTTTAGCAGATTGTATAAATGAATGACTGTAGCACAGTGTGTAGGATTTAATGACAATAAGCAACCTAAGCAACATTTTGTAGAATTATTCTAAGCAGTCAGCCTGTGTTGAATTAAATGACTTACATAACAGTCTGCTGATAGTCATTTTATTCTACATAAACAGTTTGTTCGTGTTGTCATTTACTTCAACATGAACAGTTTGTTTACATGATCGTTTAATTCTACACAGACTGCTTATAGTTATTTACTGATATTGTGTAAGCAGTGTATATGTATAGAATAAAATGGTTGCATTAGAAGTGTATTTGTGTAGAATTAAATGAGAGTGTTTGTGGAGAAGTCAAGCAGCATTGTGCAAGAATTGGTATTTTTCACTCTTGGGGAGTGTATTTTACTTTTACACCATTGTTGTAAATACAAATCATGCTTTTAGCGCCCCCTCATGGACACGTGCATTTGCTGATGAGCTGAAGGATACAGAATTCCGACCCCACTTCGTGTGCATGTGCATCTTGCAGGCATATGGATGCTCTATGTGTAAACAACTGAAATTGCATTGTTGAATTGTACATTTCTGCCAAAATAACTGCTTATACAATTATGTTGTATAAGCAGTGTATTTGTGCAAAATCAAACTGATGTATAAACAGTCTGTGTAGATGACTGCAATATAACAGTAATTATACAGAATCAGTTTGATTATGCAGCTTTTTTACACAAGCAAACTGTTGATAGTCTTTTAATTGTACATTAAGACTGTTTATAATCATTTAATTCTACACAAGCAGAATTTTGCATCTCTTGCAAAAGCTAATTTATCGATATATTTCTTTTTGTGAAACGCTTCTGTAATGCCATGTGTGTAGCTGCTGTGCATGTGTGGCCAGTAAGTCCAACAAAAATCCCCATGGAATAGAGTTTGCAACCAAATTAATTCCCACTACATGCTTCCTGGATCAATGCAGGCTGAATGGATTTCTGCCCTTAAGGGTAATTGCAGCATGTTGCTCAATAGATTAGATTTGATTGCATCCAACTGTCACAAGTATTATGTCATTCCACTAAAGCACTGTAGATCATTTCCATTGAGGATCTATAACCAGCCAACCAGCTCAAAGCACTGCTTCTGTTTACTCAGGGGAGAGGCCTGTATGTGTGGGGTGCTCATATCACACACTGCAGAAAGTCTGTATCAGAATTTATTGGCTTATTGGTCTTTGCTTCACAATCCTTCAAACCTACAGCACCTGATCTTTCAGCAATGATCAATAAAGTGTCTCTCCTTGTAGTCACTAAAATTATTCACACTAGCTGTGAACATAACCAACAGAGAGGTACATTCAAGTCTGAGTCGAGTGTACACTGTTTCGGAACTCAACTCATTCCAAACATGTTTCATGGAGTTTCATCACTTTAGCTCATTCCAAAGGTGTTCAACAGATCTTCATTACTCCAGTTCATCCCAATGGTGTTCGGTGGAGTTTCATTGTTCCAGTTCATATCCAAGGTGTTCAATGGGGCTTCATCACTCCAACTCATTCCAAAAGTGTTTGACCGAGCTTTATTACTCCCACTCATTCCAAAGGTGTCCAATGGAGCTTCATCACTCCAGGTCATCCCAAAGGTGTTCAGTGGAGCTTCATTGTTCCATTTCATCTAAAAGGGGTTCAGTGGAGCTTCACCACTCCAGCTCATTCTAAAGGTATTCAGTGGAACTTCATCTCTCTAACTCATCCCAAAGGTGTTTGGTGGAGCTTCATTACTCCAACTCATTCCAAGGGTGTCCAATGGAGCTTCTTCACTCCAGGTCATTCCAAAGGTGTTCGGTGGAGCTTCATTACTCCAGTTCATCTCAAAGGTGTTCAATGGAGCTCCATCATTCGAACTCATTCCAAAGGTATTCAATGTAGCTTCATTACTTCAGTTCATCCCAAAGGTGCTCAATGGAGCTCTATCATTCTAACTCATTCCGAAGGAGCTCAATGGAGCTTCTTCACTCCAACTCATTCCAGAGGTGTTCAACAGAGCTTCATCACTCCAACTTATCTCAAGGGGGCTAAATGGAGTTTATTCCCTCTAATTCATTACAAATTTGTTTCGTGGAGCTTCCTTGTTCCAACTCATTCCAGTGGTGTTCAGTGGCGCCTCCTTATTCCAACACATTCCAGCGGTGTTCAATGGAGCTTCATCACTCCAACTCAAAGGTGATCAATCAAGCTTCATTACTCCAGTTAATCACAAAGGTGTTCAGTGGAGCCACCTCATTCCAACTCATTCCAAAGGTGTTCAATGGAGCTTCATTGCTCCAGTTCATCCCAAAGGTATTTGATGGAGCTTCATCTCTCCAACTGATTCCAAAGGTGTTCAGTGGAGCTTAATCACTCCAACTCCAAAGGTATTCAGTGGAACTTCCTCTCTCTAACACTTTCCAAATGTCTTCAGTGGAGCTTCATCACTCCAAAGCAAGCAAAACCTAAAAAAATAATCCAACTCATCCCAAACTTGTTCAGTGATTTCATAACTCTAATTTATCACAAAGGAGTTCAGTGAAACTTTATCATGTCAACTCATCCTAGATGTGTTGAGTGAGGCTTCATCACTCCAGCTTAGTCCAGAGCTGTTCAGTGGAACTTCATTACTCCAGAAAACATGGTTCCACTGCTCCACAGTCCAACACTTGGCATTGAGCATAATGACCTTAGGCCTAGGCTAAGAGCATCTGATTCTACTGCCAAAGCTTTTCTATAGAGATTAAATGGCTGAATGTGCAAATTACTACTTGTGTCAGCAATGTGTCGTCACCTCAGAGTAGATGAATCCATTAAGTAGGAGATGTGTCTGGATAATTTAGGACATTTAGTGTAAATGATCACTGCTGTTGATTCAGGCCTTTATGATGACGCCAGCATCTATAACTGAATTATCACATTTAAATGTCTATTAGTAAAATCAACATCACAATATTAACATGCATATCCTTGTTCTGCATACTAAAGTTTTGATACATGCAACATATAGTAATTCTAGGTGGGTTCTGGTATTTTACCTGTTGGATTTCAGTATATATGACAATTATAAATTGACCTTGTGATTGTGAAAGGCGGTATATATATATATATATATATATATATATATATATATATATATATATATATATATATATAAAAAAAACCTATGGTGACTCATTATAATGGCCTTAAAATGCTCTTATTAAGCCTAATAAAGCCAAGAGCTGGTAACTAACTGGCTGCTTATTGCTACTTCATTAAGAAATTACTAGAGTGAATTAAATACTGTATAATCTTTTACACACCATTTATTACTATACAGATGCCCTGATCTGAAGAAATGCAATCCAGCAGGTTAGATATTGACCAGAAGCTATTCATTAGCACAGGTCTAAACACCTTTTTAATGCATGTTAATCTTCACTTTAGAGACATTTTGTCTTTATTTAGGGCTAACTGGTGATTTATCATTAAGGCATTAAAAAGGCACATTACAGACCCAAGGCTCAGGTAAGGGTTGTGCACAAGATTATGATGTATAATATACAAAACACAAATAAAACTACTTGCTACTGCCAAGTTATCACTTAATAAAGTAGTAAGCCAGTTCACCAGTTGTTAGCTTGATTCTTACTGCACTTTATTTTTAGCATTGAATATTTAATAAGCTAATTTTAACACTTAAGCC